GTTTTGTTCCACATTTACGTAAGAGATTTAATTCCTAAAACTGTTCGTATTAAACCACTCGACGTGATCCTGAAGTTTTTATTTCACTATTTGGTCCCTAAATCAAGACGTGAACATTTACAACAAACTAATCAGACGCCTTCTTTCCTTCGTTCACAACTTTTGGCTGAAAGTTTAAGGCTAAGCCGAACACTGTGGGTGACATCAAATTCACTAATGCCTGACATACACTGTGCAACAGGTTTGATTTTCCTGCAACCTACGATTTCCGATCAGGAGCTGGTCATGGTTCTGTTTACCCCATGTTTACTACAGGAAGCATGACACACGATTAAGCTAAATCTCAATCCCAAAAACAGTCGACTGAGTGAAAATTCAGCTCAAAAAGGGCCCAAAATTGCACAATGTACGTCTTTAAACAGTCTCTGGTATCAATACTTGCTCAAATAAGTATCTAGTCTGAATACTAGTTTTTTCAGGTACTATCATATTTTTTGGGTTATAAGGCGCACTTAAAATCCTTTAATTCTCAAAAATCGACAGTGCTTTATGTATTTTGGTTGTGCCTCATGTATTAATTCTGGTTATGTTTACTGACCTTGAACCGATTTTTCTGTGGTACACGGTGCTCAAAAATCTGTCAAAAATGTTTTAGTACGACTTTGGTAAACTACAAAGCCGCACCGCTGGATGGATTGTCGGAGCATTATGGCTGCCGTCATCAGGAGCTTCACAGAGTGTAGACTTATAATCTCTATAAAGTTTCACCTGAACCATCTCCAGCGCGATAGAAACACAGAACAGACTCACCATCAGCAGAACACCCCTCTGTCACAGAAAGAACACTTCCTCGTGTCTTTTAGTCCCACAGAAGCTGAACCACATCAGCTGCACAAGGAAAGAACTGTTTTTATCAGAGTTTATAGTTTATGTAAATGAGTCATGTGGTTTTAAATTTGTTTCTGTAAAACGTAAACAAATGTGACAAAGCTTCATTAAAAACTTTATTACTCAATGTGTATTTGAGTCGTAAATCCATTCACGTTCATAAAACACATTCACCAAGACAGAGAGGCAGCACCAGGCGAGTTACACCGTGATCTGCCGATGGATCGTGGACGACTGGACTAAAGGATCAGACTCAAGTGTCGTCTGTTTCACTTTATGCCTCTTATAATCCAGTGTGACTTATGTATGAAAATAGACGAAATAATTCAACATTATTGTTATTAAGCCTTGTAGTTCAATTAGTCGGGCCTAATTCAGTGTAGTCTGCATCTGAGTCCTAGAACTGTCCTCGCTGTCCCAAGTTATTATTATTTTTCTAGATTTCTGACATCACCAAACCCGTGTGTTCTGTGCATCTGTCCTACATGGCATTTTCACTTTGTGTGGTTGTAAATAAACGTATCTGCTTTTTTTTTTTTTTTTTTTTTTCAGAGAAGAACGGTTTGTCTTTCCTGGAGACGTCCGCTCTGGACTCGTCCAACGTGGAGCTGGCGTTTCAGACCATCCTCACAGGTATGAACGCCTCCTAGAGTGTGAACCGCACCTGCGAACGGCCGACAGACGAGTCACGCACACACACCACGGTCACACGAGACGAGAACATGACAAGAGAACTTTGTCCGAGTGGGAATCGGTCCTTGGACTTTTGGGTGACCACTGCTCTGGCCGCTGAGAATATGTGGTGTTATAAAGAGCGTTCTGTGTATTTTATGTTATTAGGTTCTTTTTTCCGACGAAGAGTTTGTTTTGGTCCTGACAGTTTGTTCTGCTCCTGCTCCTCTTCCTCTTCGTCTCGTGATGTTTCTGTGTCGTGTCGTTCAGTTGATTTAAACAGGTTTTGTCTCTGTCTTCCTCTCGGTGGAGGCAGGACGACAGAATCCCAGGAGCGTGAGAGTAAAAAAGCCCCTCGTCCCGGTTTATCGTCTGGTGGGCACGATTCCGTATTTCTATTGTCTCTTGGTGTTTGTTTTTCTCTGTCCCAGTGATGTTTGCTCCGTCCCAGTCCAGAATGTGTTTCTCTCTTTTACACTGGTCAGAAACAGACGATTTGAGTTGTTCCTGTTCTGCTTTTTGTTGCTTTGCTGTTTCCAAACTCTTGGTCTGAAAAAAGAACCTGATAACAGAAACTATCGGAAGACCAAATGAACCTCATCGGACTATGGTTATTTTACTGTTTTTGAATAGAAATACATTTACAGAATTAACATTTTCAGACTATATAATGACATTTTCTTTCTTTCTTTTTTTTTTTTTTCTTTATTGCCAAAAGTAAAAAATAACAGGCAATTTACATTAGAATAACAATAACAAGTGTTGAGATTGGACTCCTAACCCCAATTATATGTAAATAAATACAGTAGTCAGGTGAGGCATACAAATAAAAATAAAAAAAACTCAAATAAAGATGGTACATGCGACCATCGCCTTAGAAAAATATCCATTTTGAGTTGAAGTTGGGCAGTCAGACACTCCATCTGATAAACATACTTCAATTTTTGTGTCCAATATACACGATATAATGTAATTTTCAACCCAAAATCTGTTTCTGTAACATAACTATGTGGTTTTATACAAGTTTGTTTTAGATTAAGACCATAAAACTATTCAGGAGCGTTTTCTCTCCATTTATCCTAATAATACATTTGTTTTACTCTTGATACGACAGCAGAGTAGATGGTGTGGAGTTCTGAAAAATAAAGATATTGGAGCTGCACTGGATCAAAACTTACACATGCAGGTGCTCATCAGAACAGAGGACTCGAGTTCTTGTAGAGTAGAAAAAAGGATGACTGATGCACTTCAATTTGTGGTGTATTTATTGTCACGCCAACACATTTCGACTTCGTATTCTTCATCAGGGCTGATCAGAGTCGAGTGCTTGTTCTCTGATCCAGGGGTTGATGGTTTGAATCCTACTTCAGATATTAAAAAACCAAAAGATGAACACACAATACTCACGATAATCACTGTATTGACTTATCGTTCCATATATAAAACCTGGATCTGAGTCCTTTTTCTTTGCAGTACTGCGGAGATTTTTGTTATTTCTTTTACTAACATGAGATTCGAGCTGTAGAGGGGAGAATACATGACTTCTATGGCTAATTATCGGTTCATTCTTCAATTTATTTGTTGCAGCTCAGGTTTTAAAATATATTTATTGGGATTCTCCTGCTTTGTGTCAGAGGCTTTAAGTATTTTCAGTATTATTTTTTGTCGCAATCTTTCTCTGTAGCTTCAAAATGTGTCGTGACAGGTCGACTTGAAGGTAGAAAAACGTCATATATATACAGTCGTCTATCGATTCACGCTGCCCCGTCAGAATAAGCTACTTTATGTTTCTCGGTTTACAGTTGTATAGATCCAATAAATCCAAACCCTGACCCTGACCTTTCCAGTTTGACACGTTTCTTTGGATCGGAGACGTGGGTTTGATGCTTCTTGCGCACGGCGATCACACTTTATACCTTAGTTCTGTCAAATTTAAACTCATTTATATGAATCTGTGTAGTTAATTTGGACAGTTGTATCATGCTGTTGAATAGGGCTTGGACTAAAGAGAGCACATATCGACAGGACAATTTAACCATTGAATAATCACCCACTATAGAGTCAACATTATTCACTCATTTACATGAATTTGGGCAGAAGTAGCAAATCGTCTCTCAAATAATGCATCCACTTTGATACTAGCGACATTGAAGATGGGACAGTTCCATGTAATTCAATTTTATTTCTACACAAAGTTACAGCGTTTTCTACACATGGAAACAAAATAAAATACGACGTCATGAAAATGATGACGATCAAATCAAATATTAAATCCAAAGTATTCAATCGTCTAACGTAGGTTTTCTGCTGCAAAACGTCTTGAGCGTCGTGCGCATTTGCAGTAGCGCTAGGGAGCTCAAATTGACGGGTAGGTCGTTTCGACAGGACACCGGTTCTATCAGGTCTGGCTCCAATTGATTTGATTGAAGTTGTCGCCCTTCATTGTAACTGCTGCTGTGAGCTTTGTCATTTTGGTCTTAAAATGTTCGTATTTAACCGCTCTACATGATTCTGGGATTTAATTTGTCTGTATTTAAATTCCTGATGTGGAACTGGCTCCAAATTCGCTCCTTTAACTGCGAGCCTCGATGAGCTTCATTTGACTGGAGCCTGAACACTGTGGGCGACGTCAGACTTGTTTATTCCACGTCTTTGCACAGTCCGTGGTCTCACCGTCTCACTCTGTCTGTGTCTGTCTGTGTCTGTCTTCTGTGTGTCTTCTGTTTGTCACCGTCTCGTGTCTCTGCAGCCATCTTCCGGATCGTGTCCCAGAGGCAGATGTCCGGACGCGGCGAGTCCGACTTCGCTCCGACCTCCAACGTGGTGCCCATCTCTGTGGAGCCCACCCAGAGCGGAGGCAAGAGCTCCTGCTGCCAGCAACACTGACTGACCAGACCCACTGACCGACCAGACCCAACGACAACCAGACCCACTGACCGACCAGACCCACTGACCGACCAGACCCACTGACCGACCAGACCCCACGACATCCAACCAGACCCAACGACAACCGACCAGACCCCACGACAACCAGACCCACCTAGAGTGAGAGCTCCTGCTGCCAGCAACACTGACCGACCAGACCCCACAAAAACCCAATGACAACCAGACCCACTGACCGACCAGACCCACTGACCAACCAGACCCAACGACATCCAACCAGACCCAACGACAACCAGACCCACCTAGAGTGAGAGCTCCTGCTGCCAGCAACACTGACCGACCAACCCCACGACAACCAGACCCTACGACATCCAACCAGACCCCACGACAAGCAACCAGACCCCACGACATCCAACCAGACCCCACGACATCCAACCAGACCCACTGACCGACCAACCCCACGACATCCAACCAGACCCACTGACCGACCAGACCAAACAACAACCAACCAGACCCCACGACAACCAGACCCACCTAGAGTGAGAGCTCCTGCTGCCAGCAACACTGACCGACCAGACCCAACGTTAACCAGACCCCACGACAACCAACCAGACCCGGCAACAACCAACAGACCCCGACAACCAACCAGACCCCACGACAACCAGACCCCACAACAACCAACTAGACCCCACGGCAAGAAGATCCAACAACAACCAACCAGACCCACGACATTTAGACCCCACGACAACCAGCCCCTCCTGACCACCCAGAGCGAGAGCTTCTGCTGCTGTTTCGGTGTCACTGAGGTCCAGGCTTTGTCCATCCATCCGGTGACTTGAGGAAAGTTTCACGGTTCATCCTCCCGGCGTCGCAAGTTTCTCTCTCACTCCAAACTTTCCTTCTGCTGTTCGAGTTCCGTTTTTCGGCTGCTCGTTCTTCCTCCTCCCGCGGCAACTCACAACTCATCATAATCCAAAAAATACGTTGTACGAACCATCCCAACCCAGTTTTGAAATTTTGAAAATCTGGTCACCCAAAACCGAACCCAACGACAACCAGGCCCCCTTTTTATATTTTAAAAGAATGAAACAGAAGAGCGGGTTTTTATGGGCCTATATCATTATAATAACCTTTTAAGGCATTTAGAGATTATATATCCCACACAGATATTTACATTTTGTTATTTATATTTTTATAGAAGTGAAGTTTGTGAAATTTGTGACCTTAAATGAACGTCAAATCATTTTTGTATCGGCATTAGCAGCGTCTGACCGTCCCCACGAGAGACACTTAGAGGACGAGGACAGGGACAGTAGTTTGACCAGTGGGGACGAGGGAGAGCGGCGGGACAGGGGACAGGACCAGGGACAGGGGACAGGACAAGGGACAGGGGACAGGACAGGGACAGGGGACAGGACCAGGGACAGAGACTGGAGACGGGACAGGGACAGGGGACTTTGTGACGGGACAGAGACGGGGCTGAGACCGGATCGGGGACAGTGGGACGGGGGACGGGGGTAATGCTACAGGACCGGGGGGGTGATGGGACATAGAGACAGGAGCAGAGGGCAGGAGCAGAGGACAAAGGGACTACGGGGACGGAGACTTTCATGGGACAGAGGGAAAGCTGCGGGGACACTGATCAGATATTTAGTGCACAATAATATAAAAATGAAGGTTGTGGTTTTGTATGTGTGTGTTTTGACTTTTGTTTGTCCAATAAATCTGCTATTTCTTATTTTCTTTGTTTCGTTTTTGTGCTTTTTTCATTTTATTTTATTTAACATGAAGTGCTCCACTGTGTTTTTAAACTCCACACACCTTCACTAGAATCATTTGCAGTTCATATTGGGAATGATCCTCCGAAAAAGTGAGCATCAAATAATTATGTTTGTTTTGTCAAAGTCGATCTTTTCAAGTCTTTTGAACCATTTCACTTTTGTTTCTGGTTCTGATATTGTCATATTTTAGTTTTGGGATTCGGACGTCGTAATTGTTGTGGTTGTTGGATCCAAACAGCGGAAAACGACTTGAGATTTTTGTTTGTGAACTTCATAAATGCAAAAGTGAATCAGATGTGTGTGACTCAAACCTCTGTTTAAACTGTTTCTCTTCCCAACGGAATTGAAAAATAGTGAAAGGTGAAGGTGATGGGCAGGATTGATCCACAGGAAGAACCAAAAAGGAAACATTTGTCTGACTAAGAAATCATCCTGAGTTTACAGAGAACATTTTGTGTGTCCTGATCCTGATCCGTCGCTCAACCTCAGTTACGAATTTTACAAAAAGTCGACACTAAAGTGAAAGTCTCCAACTGTTCACCAAGAAACACCTTCCACTGCAAAGACCAAGACGTGATGTTTCTGTAAAACCACAAGAACAAGAAAGTGCAGCTCAGTCTGTTTGTCTTCTGCTCCTCTACATTAACAAACGGGATTTTGTTTTGTCGTGGCTCCACATACAAAATGTTCTCTGTAAACTCAGGATGATTTCTTAGTCAGACAAATGTTTCCTTTTTGGTTCTTCCTGTGGATCAATCCTGCCCATCACCTTCACCTTTCACTATTTTTCAATTCTGTTGGGAAGAGAAACAGTTTGAACGGAGGTTTGAGTCACACACGTCTGATTCCCTGGTCCCTGAAGGGTTGACCAGGTTTTGTTTTCACCCTGTGTGTCGTGTGTCGTGTGATATTTCCGCCATTTATGGACCGATTGTCTCCAAATTTGGTACATGGGTCAAGCCCTCGTGTCTGATGCTGCAAAAAAAAAGTTTAGAGACGATCCGAGGTCATTTGAGGTCACACGGGTCAACTGAAAGGTCACAACATTATAAAGAATCGTCAATTTCAGCAATTTCTGATCCATCTGCGGCCTAAAATATTCCCCCAGTCGTCACACAGGTCGGCACACACACACATAACCCGGGCACACTGGATGTTACAGCTTCAAACGGGTCAAGGTAACCAAGGTCAAATATGTGTTTTTGGTCACAATTCCACGAAGGATCGAGCTCGAGCAACGGGAGCGTCTCAAAATCTCAGAAAAATGATGATCTATTTATAATTCTGTGCTTTTGTGTCGTCAAATATGAATAGTTTTCCAGATAATCACTCATTATAACAGTTGCTTTTTCTTTCAGTTTATGCCGTTAAAATTCTAATTGGATTGAAAATAATTTCTTATTTTATTTATTTGTAAAGGAACAGTTCATATTAATGAACATTAAAAATGTAAAATGTAAAGATTAAAGCAACGTGGCTCATTTCCATCTTCAGTCCCTCGACAGGTTCACGTAAAATCATCTACAGGACGAAGAAAAGTACAACAACAATCACACAAAAGTACAACAACACACACACTGTACACACAACACACACACACACACTGTCACACACACACACACACACTATACACACACACACAACACACACATACACACACACACACACACTATACACACACAACACACACACTGTCACACACACACAACACACACACTGTACACACAACACACACACACACACACACACACACACACACAACACACAACACACACACTGTACACACAACACACACACACACACACACACACACACACACACACACACACAACACACACACTGTACACACAACACACACACACACAACACACACACTGTACACACACACACACACACACACTGTACACACAACAACACACACACACACTATACACACAACACACACACTGTACACACACAACACACAACACACACACTGTACACACACACACACACACACTATACACACACAACACACAACACACACACATACACACACACACACACACACACACACACACACACACACAACACACACACTGTACACACACACACACACACACACACACACAACACACTGTACACACAACACAAACACACACTGTACACACACACACACACACATACACACACACACACACACATACACACACACACACACACACACACACACACACACACACACTGTACACACAACACACACACTATACACACACACACACACACACACACACACAACACACACACTGTACACACACACACACACACTATACACACAACACACACACTATACACACACACAACACACACACTGTACACACAACACACACACTATACACACAACACACACACTATACACACACACACACACACACACACACTATACACACAACACACACACACTATACACACAACACACACACTATACACACAACACACACACACACACACACACACACAACACACACACTATACACACAACACACACACTATACACACAACACACACACTATACACACAACACACACACTATACACACACACAACACACACACTGTACACACAATTAGTTTCAAACAGTTCATTTGAAGTTCAAAGTCAAGAGTTAAACCAACAACCTTCAAAATAAAAGAAAATATAAATGTGTTAAACATGGAGACGTATTTGACCATTGAACATCACTGTTTTAAAGCTAAACGCTGCAGTGTTGAAAGTTTCTCTGTTTCATGTTTGAGCTGCTCCATAAGTAAAAGAGAGTTTGTCCAAAGGTATTTTTCCTAAACGTCCCAGAGTCCGTCGCCTCCTGTTGTGTGATTTGAATTTCTTTTCACAAACTCCTTTAGACGAGGTGGAGCGAGATGATTAAAAACTTTGTAAACCAGAATTAAATCTGCATATTTGATTGTTTTGTCCCAATTTAGGAATTTGTATTTGTCAAGTTTTCTGCAACAGTGATCATTTGTGGGCTTTTTGTCTAATACTTTAAGTGATTTTTTATAGTTTCAGCTCATTTAAGAGTCGTTTTGTTTGTCAGAGTCCAAATAGTAATGCAATAATTTAGATGTGGCAAAATCATTGAATTTAAAAACATAAATGTCATTAGATTATTTCTTATATGATGAAAATTTGATAAATGATTTTGATTTTATTTCCATTGTTTTTGTGATGAAACACAACACACTGATCTACAGTCACACAACACACACACACTCATGAAAAATGACCATAGTAACGATGATGTCATCTGGGCTCCTGATGACCTGAACTCGCCGCCGCCTCGTGGGACCAGGTCCACGTCTCTGACGACTCTTGTTCACTTTTGCAGTTCTGATGTTCCAAAACTTCCAGAGTCTGTTTCTCGAGCCGTTTTCCGCTGTTTGGATCCAACAACCACACAATTACTAGGGGTGTGCAAAAATATCGGAATATCGATATATCGTATCGTTTAATGTGATGATTCAGTATCGATATCGTGGGCTTCTGTATCGATATTTCACCAAGAGTATTTTTAGGTGAGTTTTACTAAATTATTTTGTTACAGCTACAGTTTTGTTGCTTGTGGAGTGAAAGTGAAACTCATTTATGCGACACATTTGACATTTTTACTGTTTTGACGATTAAAAAGTTTGTGTTTCATATGAACTTTGTGGTTTAACAAAGACTTTAGTATCACAGCCACGATTTAACCTTTATTTTTTATTGAACCGTATCGAATTGATTTGAAATATATCATATCGAATCAAAAGTTCACTGTATCGAGGTGTGTAATGTATCGGCAACTTCTTAATGATACCAGCTCGAGCAGTGACGACGTCCCAATCCCAAAACTAAAAATATGACAATATCAGAACCAGAAACAAAAGTGATTTGGTTCAAAAGACTTGAAAAGATCGACTTTGTCAACAGACACGTCCCACTGGGAAAAGTGAGCATTATTATTTGATGCTCACTTTTTCGGAGGATCTTTCCCAGTGTGAATCACACGATGACGGGATCAGGCTGCATGTTTTACGAATCTACTGAACTAAAGATTTTTAAAAAAGAGCTTGAAAACTACATTTACGTGACATCACAAGGTGGACCAGGGCATTTTGAGCGAGACAGACTAATAATAAAAGCAACTTCAGCGGTTTTTGAGAAGGAACAACATTAGAACATCATTTAAAGCACAGGTGTCAAACATACGGCCCGGGGGCCAGATCCGGCCCTCCAAGACCTTTAATCTGGCCCTCGGCTGATTTTCTACTAAAATATTTTAATTATATTTTCTATTAAAATGGTGTTAATTTTCTGTGGTGTTTATCACAGCAGCGTCTCCAGCGTCTCTGTACGTGGCCCCTCCCACCAGAGCAGCACAAATGAAGACTTGTCTCTTTCCAAACGCTCTTAAAGGACGATCGTTTTGACTGTTGACCGTGACACCCTCATCAGAAAAATGTCCAACATGAGAAAAGTGGAGCCGAGTGCAGGATTTTACAACAAAAATGGACTTATTCCTGTTTACAGACAAGTTCATGTTCAAACTTTGTGTTGAAATTGTATTTTTCTTAAAGTTCCAGGTTGTTCATAATATTATAATATTTTGTAAAAGAAAGAGTTCATCAATTAAAACAGATTTCTGTAATAGATTTGTGTTTCTCTGCACAAATATTTGAACTTCTTGTTATTTTTGGGGTTTATATGACATGAGTTTTCTGATCCAGACACTTTGGATCAAAGTCGGTTGGACTCGACCCCCGGAACAAAATGAGTTTAACATCCCTGATTTAAAGCTTCACTTTGTGTGATATAAAACCTTTCAAACGCTCCTCCTGACCGACCAGAGGCATTTTCACACTATGGAATCTGAATTCAGTTAAAACTCGACGAGCAGCTCTGCCCTGAGTCACGCTGCGCCGCCCGGGCCTCGTCTCGTTTGGGCGT